ATCACAGAGGCTAAAAAAAAAAAAAATGTGCATTGAACAAATTAAAAGCAGATCTCACCTAGACAAGTGTATTTTTTTAAAGAAATGTATATTCATTTCAGCAGCAACATTGTCAAAAGGCTGATTGGGAGGGTAGTTCAGCCTCCCCAAACCATGGAATGTATTCCAAAGCCCAATGGGAGGGATTTGGGGATTAGCCCATGCCTTGAGCCGGCTTTACCAATACGCCTTCTTTCTCAAGCCTAATTAAGAGTTGTAAATATATATTTTTCTATGTATGCTCAGAAATGTAGCAAGCTTTCCCTGTCAATGATATTTCTTCGGTTTTCCTAATGGTGTCTTCAAGGCTTTCCATACGAATTTTCTCCTGTGCTGCTGAGACAAAAAGATAGGCACCTCAACTTCTCTTTGAAGGCAGTGTTATTACTACAATCTCCGTGCTGAGCAGTTCAGAACATAAACCATCCTTTTCCACCTAACATACTAATCGTACAATTGAGCTTTTGTGCCACCGGGGCTTAAAAATACATACTAGTAATTCCTGAAGGTCTGTTTGCATCCAAAATCTTTAACTTTAAATTGTTGCAAAATGAGAGAAAGAGACAGAGATGAAGGAGAGACACAGAGGGACGGAGATGAGAAGAAAAGAAGAAAAGGAGGGAAATAAAGAGAACACGTATAACACAGTCATTGGTCTGGAAAGGGGAAGAAGAGTTAGGCCAAAGCCCAGAGAAGAGCAGTGACTTTTCCAATATCTTGAAGTAAGACGATAGAAGACCAGATCCACGTGTCTGGACCTGTCATTCAAAACTGTTTGCCCTCAGATGTGGAGGGTCATGGAAAAGCCTGCATCACTGGAGGTTATCAACTAGCCAAGAGTTTCTGGCCAAATAAGAATTGCCTCCTGAAACTCGGCTGTGCCGGAGATCACCAGTCTGGATGAGTTATGTGGATTCAGTAATAGATATTCACACATATTCTTCAATTTATTGCACATTTTCAGGGTTGCATCACCGAGGACCCCTATGTGGTAATGGTGGGTTGTACATGGGAATGTATGTATATATCCTTATAAATGGGAGATGTTCCCAATTTCTTTCTTCTACCCGACAGAATATAAATCCAAGGCAATGGCCAGGGAATTTGGTATGGAGTGAAAGCCCACGGAATTTGGTCTTGGCTCAGCTACTTATCAACTGTGCAAACACAGGATAATCACTTGACCAGGCTGGACTTTGATATGTTCAAACAAGGTGACTGCTTTGGGCTCTAAATCCCATGTCATCAACCAGCAAGGTCTTCTCGTAGTTCACCCCAACAAGTCCATGGGACTCGTCACGTGTATACTTGAGGTGATGCAACCCACCTTTGCCTTGTGCATGCTTCTAAGACAGGACCACACCCTCAATCCCCCATCCTGGTAATCCTGGCATACCAGGAAGGCTACTTGGATACTCAGCATGCCAAGGCAAAGTGAAAATGTACCAATATGAAAATCACTGCAGAAACATTAAAAATGTATCATTCTCACTGAAGGAAGCTTCCTGGTGTGTCACGGTTTTCTGCACGCCCAGCTAAATCCCATGGAGGGCTGCTGAGCAACGTCAATCTCCAACAGTGTGGCGCTGCTCCCTTACCAACTTGGAGAACAGAGTTAGATACTGAGTCAAGGGGAGGAGAAAATGTACCCAGGGTTTCTGGGCCACATCTTTTTCTGATTCTGACTCCAATCCATTTGGCCACTGAGGAGTGGGTTGGGGGCAACAGTCCCTGTTGGATTTCTTCCTGGGACAAAATTCATGTTGCACAGCCTGGGCTCTAGCTTCCAGAGCCCCGACTCAGGAGGTTAGGATACATGTTCCCAACAGGATTTCTTTGTGATACTAGGCTATTAGAATAAAATGAAATATCTTCACTTTGTTCTTAGAGAACTCAGCTGCTGATCTTGGGAAATATCCCTTCACCAATGAAGGGAAATAACTGAGCTCTTTTTGTACATTTTATGTTCCCTTCTAGCTCTGGCTTTCACCAAGGCGGTTCATGCAGTAACTGAGTTGTGCATAATTTACAACCTGCTATAATTACATTCAGCTATGTTATGCTCCTAAAAAGTGTCTGCTGCCATGCTCAGTGTCCATGTCCAAGGATACTGGTCTCCATTATTAAATATTTCCTGCATTCTAAGCTGGTGTGAGCCCAGGCCACTTTACCTGACACTACATTAGAACACATCACTTGGGAGCCAACTGCTTCTCCAGCACATTGGTTTTTCCCCAGCTTTTCAGTTCTCTCTGGGCTCAGGAGTGATGCCAAGTGTGCAGAATTTCTATGGACAGCTTAGCCTCTGACCTGAGAAATTCGCCAGCTCCGAGTTTCTGATCTTCTGACCCTTGAGTAAAGGGTGGAGGAGTGTGGGTTGCAGAGAATCGTTGGCAGCTAGGAAGGTTTTCTGAAGGTGCCCGAGCTTGAGTGCGCCCTGACCTATCATGACCAAGCACAGGTCACGCATATACAGTGAGGAGGCCTAGCCACGCTCTCTCAGTGTTATTTGTTTTTGTTTCTTGGGAAGTCATGTTTTGCTAAGTCCAAAAGCCTGGGTCCCTGGACATGGTCACACGGGCTACTTTTTTGTGTACACACATGAAGTTTCCAGCAGGAGCAGTGATCTTGTGACTTTTCCTCTCCAAAGTTTGTTGGACAGGGGTGGACTGAATAGGGCTGGGCTCAAATAAGTGATGTCTCACCTCTCCCCTGTATGACCAAGCAGGCCCTTAGTTATTGTACATGGCTTGGATGTTAGGGAAGGAGCTTTCAATGTCAGAACAGAGCTTCCTCTGCATGAAGCTAAGTGGCCTCAAGAGAAATAAACTTATATCTTTGGATTCATTTTCTCCATGGTCTAACTAAGCCAGAGATGGGCTTCTAGCCCATAAACACACATTAGAGATACCAAAATCTTTGGGGATCACCAGTAACTCTGCTTGTACACAGAGATCTTCCCAACAAATATCTGATCACAGGCAGCAGGTATGTCCAACTTTGCAGCAGAGATCTCTGAGCATAATGGAAGGGTTGGTGAAGGGAAAGAGGGCAGATACAATGCCCAAGGATTAGAAACTGCCAATAGAAACCTTTTAGCCAGAGACTGGAGAATTTCCATGAGCTCTAGTGGGTTGAAGCTCTGGATTCAGTGCGACTGAACCTCTGTACATTAGCCATCGTGCCCATGAGTCATAGAACTCCCTCTGGCCATCACCCACAACATCCATCCAGCACACACAATGCAGAAAGTCACTGTAAATTGCAACCAGCATGGTGTTTGAGCTTAAGTTGGTGGTTTCTTCAGCCCCATCCATTTTTCTCTCATTCTCCTTTTCCTAAGATGCTAGCAATATTGTTTTTAAGTGAACAATCTGTGAAATTTTTTAGCTATGTAAATCATGGGGAAGGTTGAACCCTGAAGAGTTCTGCCTACAGCTCCCAATTCTTTTTAAAATGGACCCTTTGGGGATGACTTTGTTATCTCCTGATGGGCCAGCATGTCTTGTCTTGCTAACAAGAGATGACTCAAGTCTATCTTATCCAAGGAGAATGAAACCCTTGGATGTCTGAATGAGTTTCTTGAGCAGGAATCAGGGACCTAATCTGAATTGGAACAGTGAAGACATATGTGTCAATTGATGAAAATTGGCTTCAAATGAGGCTGGTTAGGTTTTAATCTGAAGGGATGTCTCTGAGATCCCATCTCTCCCAAATTCTGTGTCACTTGGATAGTGGTGCAGTGAAATGGATTAGAGCTATGCATACCAGTGTAGACTTCAGGGTAGGATCCAATTCATTTGGCATGAATGCACCATTCCTATCCCTTTTATCTATAATGCTTGACTTTAGCTATGCAAACATAGCCAAATGCAGCCATTTCCCAAGTATGAGGAACAGCATCGATCATTGAAAGTGGTTTCAGAGATCACTTAGTCCAGTCGCTTCTTTTAATGGTGAGGAAATTGACACCTAAGAGGAGAGATGATCTCCCTAAAGTCAGGCAGCTAGTTAATGCCAGGGAAAGCACTAGAAGGCCAATCTCCCGAGTCTGGCATTGTAGGTTTCTTTCTGCTTTGTTTTCTGCCTTCATAGATCAGCTTCCAAAGGAAAAAAAAATTTAAAATTTGATTTTTAATAATTTTAATCAGTTTCTGATTTTTAAAAATCCATGTTTAGGAATTTTTTTTTTAAAAAAATTAGTTCATATTTGTGCTTCTAAAATGGACAAGAATTATCAATTCCAAAATCTCTGTTGAAAAGAACATGCATAAATTTTTGTTGCTGAAATACAACATTTAGATTTTAGTATTCTTCTGTGGTGCTTGTTAATTTTCTACTGTACATATATGTCTTTATCATACAAAGTATAGACACTTTCTAAACTGATCCAGCCCTAGAAGCTTTGAAAAGACTGAGTTGGGGATAGAGGTATCTCAAAATCTGAATTTCACTTTTATTTAAGTGTGATTTTTTTAAATTTAATTTTGCATACGTGAACTGTCCTATTTTTGCTCCAGTTACTTATACAATGTCCTAACTATAAAGGCTTCTTGTGGTATCCCTAGGAAAGAAAAAAGAATTCCAGAAAGCAGAATCTTAACTCTACTCAAAATATTGAGAGATGGCTGTTCAAAGAGATCTGTCCTTTTACTATGAAATGATGTCATGAAGTGACATGATCTTGAGACAAAATATAATGGACAGTTTTAATGCTGCCGGTCTCCTCAAATTGTTGATAATATGCAAGTATTTGGATTAGCTCCTGGCATATCCCTGACACAAATATATCATATCTAATATGGCTTAGCAGGATGAGAATGACAAGGATAGTTTTGCCAAGTATCTCAATTTTAATTCTATTTGAAAGTTGTTGATGTCTGTGAGTCAGAAAATATGCTAATGGTTTTGTTTCTAGATGTATTTGAGTTGGACTAAGACTAGTTTGTTAATTAAACCAGGTGTGTAGTCTGGACTGGTGATGACCGAGTTTTCTTCTTCAACCCAACAATGCACCTCTCTGTATGGGAGAAGCCAATGGACTTGAAGAACCGAGGAGATCTTAACCGGATCATAGAGGACCCACCACATAAGCGCAAGCTGGACGCTTCAGCAAGTAACTAATAGCTGTGATTATTTTCATCTTTTTTTATAACAGTGCCTTTGTTAATTAAATATCCCTATTGAACTTGGAAACCAAAGTACATTTTCTAGGCAATATTGGATTTGAGTCATGTTAGAGGGGGATGTTTTACTATTTTACTAATGTGGTAATTATAGTATTCTGTGCAGAAATATCTGCACTCACGTCCTTTTACATAGTCAGCATACTTCTTTTATTTTTAGAACTGAACTAATAAATGGTTGGTTTGTCAGGCAGAATGAATTTTTGTTTCATCCATGTAGCAGAGGAAGGCTATTCAAGTTGGTTTTTTTTTCCCCACTAAAAATATCTTTTTTTCCCCCATTTAGAATATTTCTAGACATTATCATGATTTATTATTTTATTTTTTTATCTGAAAACTTCTCAGCGACTACTTTAGAACAAATCGGTGTGGCACAATGGAGGTTGTTTGTTGGTGTCTAGACTATGCCTTCTGTTTTGTTTGGATTTGCCTTTGGGGACAGCCTGGGGGTGATTGGGTGGGGGTGGTTGATATAGGGAGGGAAAATTCCCGGTGAGGAAACTCCCTTTATCGGATCACTAACTGGTTAATAATTTATTGTCCCCAAAAGTTGTCTATTGATCCCTGAGGTTAAATGATGGTTTTGACGGCCTATAAAAAATGCACCACAGGGATGAACACTGTCTGGGACTCCTGGGCAGCTCCCTATCCATTGTTCCATACTGCTTCCCATTCACTCAGTTAAATCTGCTTAATTGTAATGAGCAGTTGTTGTTATCATTGCCCTTGTCATTGTGTCTTTGTGTTTAATCAAGTGACTAATTACATTAAGATGCCCACAGGCATAGATGCAGCCAGGGTTCTTTGGTCTCTTTGGTTGTAGAGGAATGGAAAAGTGTGCAGATGAGTTTGGTAGAGATAGGATATGGAGTGTGCATAGCCCTGAAAGCCGCACTATGAAGAGTTCATTTTGAATCAACTCTAATAAATTCTTCATTTACTCTGTGGTGGGAAATCCTTGCTAAGGGAGCACAAGTGTCCATTATAAATAACCCTGCCTACAAAGAAGATACTACAGAATATTTGTACTCAGTTCAAAGCATAGCTACTGTTACTGGTCTAGAAGATAGGATATATCAAACGGGATCCCAACCCCTCAACATTAAAAACCAGTGAAAGGATGCTTTATTTGAGCACTTTTTGTTTCTACAATCTATAATATGAAAAGAAAATGATAGCTAATGAAACTTTATCCATTACAAAGGTATTTGATCTTAGGGGGAATCATCACAAAAGTTTCTTCTCTTTCTCCTCCTCCTTCAACTAGTTCTCCTCCTTCCCCTCTGCCTCTTTTTTCTATGCCTCTACTTGAAATCTGAACAATGATTTTTTTTCTACATCACTACATCCTAACTGCCATATACTACCAATGAGCCCCAGTTTCCTTCTCTGTGAAATGAAGGGGTGGGGAGAAGATGATCTCCCAGGAACTTTCCAGTTCTGAATCCATGATCCTTTGATCCAGAGAATAAAAATGGAATCCACCTGAAATGAGCACAAAAAAAAATGGAATAGTACTGCTGTTTCAAATGAGGAAGATAACCCATGGAGTAGATAGTAAGCACGTGCCTCGAAGTGACTTAGCAAAAAAGTTTCAGGAGAACTTGGCAAAGATTAATGTACACATGCTTGGAAAAAAGCAAAGATTTCTGCTTTGCGGGCATTTTTGGTTTGGTTTGGTTTTCTCCCTGAATCAAGAAGTCTCATTCCAGCTCATAAAACTTCTTATGTTGGAAATGAGAAGAGCAATTCCACCGTATAAAGAACGAAGGTTACAGTTGTCTTGTATTTCCCCATTTTGATCATGGTATCTGTGCTGAAGATGAGTTGGTCCAAAATGTTTTTACTGGCAAGGTGCCAGGCAAGGACTTCATCATTTCCTTAACTTCAGTTGATGGGGTTAATTATCTGTGAGGTTCAGATGAATGAGCTGGGGTGAGGCTGATGACTTTTACGTTGGCAGAAATGATCATGATTGGTATAGACATGGGGAAATCAATGCCATGTTCAAGCCTTGATAAATGTGTTGCAGCATAACTTGACTCATTTCACTTAAATCGTTGGCCTAAGACTAGTGCCATGGTAAGAATGAAGTCTCAGCAAGAAACTTGGGCCCTCCATGGCATTGGCATTTAAGCTGAAGTAAGCACTTTTATGTAACTACTTCAGTCCTCCCCTTGCCTTTGCCCAATGTGAGCCTTACCTTAGATGTGCAAGAGAGAAAGTTGTGTCAGTGATCTCAAAAACATTTTTAAGACATTTGGGTAATTGAAAGCAAAAAGCTGTCGAGGCTATGATTGGACTTGACCTCTTCATCCCCAGGGGGTGCTGGGAGCAATGTATACCTGCTACAAAGAAGTCCAGTGAGGCTCAATAGTAGAGGGAGAGGGAGTTCCCTGAGTGGTTTCCAAGGGAAAGGGGATTCTGGACAGTGGTGGGTTCCCCTGTGGGGAAGGGTGTCTTCAAACAGAGATTCATGGCCATCTTTCGGGGAAGTTTTAGCCATGATTTCTTTGGGACTTTTGCCCTGTAGCAGTTGAGGTCTCTTACAATGCTTTAACTTCTGTTTAGCATGTCTATGCCTCCCACATGCCAGAGTGAGGAGTGGGGGGAACCTCACTTGATCCTTCCATCCCCACTAACTATTGCCCTGTATCTTTTCTGCCCTTTATGACTAAACTGCTCTTGAGAAGGCCGTCTACAAGTAGTGTTTCCACTTCTCTTCCCACTCCCTTCTTAACCCTTACAATCCAGTTTCCAACCTTATCATTTCACCAAAACCGTTCTCTGCAAAGTTACCAATGATCTCTTAGTTGCTAAATCCAGTGGCCTTTTCTTAATCTTGATTCCCTTTGACTTCTCTGCAGCCTTTGACACTCTTGATCACCCTCTCCTCCTTGATATTCTCTTTTCTCTGGGTTAACAGGGCACCCTCTCTCCTGGTTCTCCTTCTCCCTCTCTGACCACTGCTCTGTCTCCTTTGCTAGATCCTCACCCAGAGCATGCCCTCTAACCATAAGTCTCACCCATGGTTCTATGTGGGGCCCTCTTCTGCCTCTATACTACTTCACTTGGTGATCTCCCTAGCTTCCATGGTTTTAATTACCAACTCTATGCTGATGATTCTCAGATCTACTTGTCCTATCCAAACCTCTCCACTGACTTCCAATCTTGCATTTCTGGGTTCCTTTCAGATATCTTGAACTAGATGTCCAGTAAAAAACTTAGATTCCATATGTCCAAACAAGAACTCATAGTCTTATGTCCTCAACCTCTCCCTCCTAACTTTCTTATTACTATATAGAAGACATCAACATTGTACTAGTCCCTCATGATATCAATGGAGGGGATGGGGGGAAAGACAGCCCGAGGCTTGGAAACAGGAGCTGGGATTCGTGTGGTGTAAATAGTTCAAAGAACCAATTTGGGTAGAGCAGAGACTGATCATGTAGGTGAAGCGTGATGAGGCTGGAGATCGCAGATGGGACCAGGTGTTACCAGACTGTTGTGAATTAGGCAGATTCTGGAGAAAGGAAATGAAACATTTTGACTGAATGGAGACAAGACCTTTGTTCTATCCTTCCTACTTTCCACCCATGAGTCACTCCATGCACAAAAGCTATGAATTCACCCTGGACCTACATTCCTTCCAGGTAGAGCTCCCCTTTAACCCTAGGACCTGCCCTCGCTGACCTGCTGTGCTCTCCTGTATGACTTCTGCTATACTTCATGACCCACTGTTTCCATTTCCTACGATGTTTCTAACCCAACAATTTACTTTCCAACACCTCTCACACACAATAAGCCCCTTTGTCCTAAGTGCATCAGTGATGGCTTTTAGTAGTCATGTTTTATATATATACACACACATATATATAGTGTGTATGTGTATATATATATATATATATGTATATATATATATATATGTGTGTATATATGCATTTATACACACATACACATTTATATATGTGTGTATGTGTACACATATATGTATATGCATATGTATACATGCATGTGTATACATGTGTATATATTCATGTGTGTATATGTATATGGATACATGTATGCATAGTTGTGTATATATATGTATTATATGTTCCCCTTTCCATGTGATTATCTTTCCTCCTCCCTCAAAAATGTGACTTATTGTCTTATGTCAAAGTATTAAGAGGAGTAGATTTGTACAGTGTGTTCTCATGTCCAGGGACTCACAGAGCACCAGAGAGGCTTGGGTCAGTACCTGATTTGGAGTCTCGGTCAATTTAACAAAATGCTACAGATAAAAATAAAATTAAGTAGAAGAAGCGGGGACTTATGTGATTAACAGATGGCTCTAAGGCCTTGTTGCGGCCCCCAAACACGCACACAAAACCTAAAACAACCACCTCCATTGCCCCACCCTCTGCTGATTAGTCTTTCCAAGCTCAGCCTGTTAGTCTCCAGGCTTTAGGCACACAATTCTACTCAATCTTCCATTTGTTTCTTTTTTTCCTCTTCAAAGGAGAATGACCTTCATGCATGGAGATGATTCCCACACTGAATAAGGAGAGAGTAAGAAAGCACCTAGCAGCCTTTGATGACTATACTTCATGTGGTCCAATGTATTCTGTTCCTTTGTTTTGAGAAAACTGGCAGATGTGTTTTCTGCAGTACCACAAACCTGAAGAAGGGCCCTAGAATTATGCAAACTTTAAACCAGTGAACTTGAGTTCAATTCCTGGGAAAATTCTAAAATGGAAAATTAAAACAGTGAATGGTGAACATCTAAGTAGGAAGCAATCCAGCCAAAATGGGCTTTGATTTGTTCCTGGAACACAATGAGTGTGCTCAATGCACATCTCCTTTCTCTGTGCCTGTACATCCTCCCCCTCACCCCGATGCCACACCACATACTTTCTCTTCCTGCCTTAGTATCCCTGCCTTCCTGTAA